CCCCATCCCTCTAACCATTGTGTATCCTCCCCTAGCCTGTCGCTGGCAAGTCTGATAGGTTCCCCTTCCCCCTTCACCTCTAGTTTAAAGCCCTGTCAATGAGCCCCGCAAGCTTTTGGGCAAAGATCCTCTTCCCCCTTTGAGAAAGCTGGTCCCCATTTGATGCCAGCAAGCTTATACAGGTTGCAATGCTCTCCCCATGAGTGATGCTGTCTTGCTATGATGCTGAGATAATGTTGTTCTTTTTCTTTTTTTTTTTTAGAATCTGCCCACCACTGGAAGGAGCGATGAAAAGATAACCTGTGCTCCAGATTCCTTTACTAATCGTCCTAGGGCTTTGAATTCTTTTTTAATTGCCTTCGGGCTACTTACTGCAACTTCGTCCGCACCCACATGGAAGAGCAGCAGAGGATAATAATCTGAGGGTCGGACCAGTCTAGGAAGTTTCCTAGCAATGTCCTTGACCCGTGTTCCCGGGAGGCAACAGACTTCCCTGAGAGGAGGGGCTGCCTGGCATATCGGACCCTCAGTTCCCCTCAGCTGGGAGTCTCCTACAACTATGACTTGTCTCTTCCTCCTTGTGGAGCTGGTAGTAATATGAGAGGGAGGTCCTTCTGATCTTTGTGCCTCCTCCGATGTGGATGGGTCAATGCCCATCACCTTGTCTTCCACATCTAGAGCCTCATACCTATTATGCAGAGGCACCTGTGGAGATGTGGTGGGCAAGGGAAGGGTTCGCCTCCTGCCCCGATTGCGGACCCACTTGGGCAGGTCCATGTCTTTCTCATGCCAGGGGCCCCAGAGTTGAACAAAGTACTCCAGATGGGGTCTCACAAGACTAGTGCAGAGGGGAAGAATCACTTCCCTCGACCTGCTACAGACTTTTTTTGGTGCAGCACAGGATGCGATTGGCTTTCTGGGCTGTGAGCACACATTGCCAGATCATATTCAGTTTTTCACCCACCAGTATCCCCGAGTCCTTCTCTGCAGGGCATATTCTCAATTCACTCATTGCCTAGACTGTATCCGTGCTTGGCATTGCCCTGACTCATGCACGGGACCTTGCACTTGTCCTTGTTGCACTTCATAAGGTTCACACAGGCCCACCTCTCTACCCTGTCAAGGTTGGCATCCCTTCCCTCCAGTGTGTTGACCACACCACACAGCTTGGTGTCATCCACAAACTTACTGAAGGTGCACTCAATCCCCCTGTCTATGTCTACAACAAAGATGTTAAATAACTCTAGTCTCAATACCAACCCCTGAGGGACATCACTTGTCACTGGTCTCCACCTGGACATCAAGGTGTTCACCACAACTCTTTGAGTGCAATCATCTAGCCGGTTGCTAGACCACTGAGTGGTCCACCCGTCAAATCCATGTGTCTCCATTTTAGAGGCAAGGGTGTTGTGTGGGAGAGCATATTGTGTGGGAGTATGTCAGTTACATTACAGAAAATTATTCTTTATGTCTTCAACCCCAAATACTGCACAGTGGAAGGTAGGCTTTGGGCCTGAGTAGATATTTATAATAGAACAAAGGAGCCTTCAAGATTCTGTAAGGAAACTGGTCCCACTTTCTAAACTAGGGGCAGAGACAGAGCCTGTTAATTTTAACCTAGATTCATAGAAAGTTAGAGAGAATTAAAATTTTTTTTCAGGTGAAAGTGACTGCATTCTTGAAAAGAGTTTCAAGGACTGTGTTGCCTAATTTGAAGAAAAGTCAAATTGTTTTCTTGTGGTGATTCTAATTGCAAAAGGTTACTGTGTTACTTTGATTTGATAGAAGATTCTAATTGCCAAGCTGTAGCACTGGGACTTTTCCTCAGCTGGCTTCCAGGAGGTATGACTAGCTGACACACATATTATTTAAGGATATCAAAAATCAGAAACTTACCGTGTTTAAAGAAACTTGTTAAAGTATTTACTTGGTAAGGAACATTATTGCATCTGACAATATTTAAAACCAAAAAATGTTACTGAAACTAAGATAAAAAGAGTAAACTAAATGTCTTATAGCTATTAAGTAAGTCAGATTTGGTATTAGGCTGAAGTTAACATTGCTAAGTGTCCTATTTTCAACTGGAATAGAGTTAATTTTATTGCCAGTAGCTGCTGTGTTTTAGATTTAGTAGGAGAGGAATGTAGATAACACTGGTGTTTTTAGTTGTTCCTAAGAAATAAAGAATTCATGTGAGTGTGTGTACAAGAGCTGGAAGGGAGCATAGCCAGGCAGCTGATCCAGGCTGGCCAATGGAAATATTCCATACCATAGACATCATGCTCAGTTTGTAAAGAGGGGCTGGATGGGGGGCAGGAACCCTTTTTTTCTGTGAGTTCACTCTTTTCTGGAAGTTCAGTGAGAAAACTTGTATTGTGAATTACTTGTTTTGCATTATTATTATTATTGTTGTTGTTTCCTTGGTTGTCTTATTTAACTGTCTTTATCTCAACCCGTGAGTTTTACTTTTTGTCCATTATCCTCCCCATCCCACTGTGGGGTGAGGAGCGAGTGAGCAGCTGCATGGTCCTTGTTGCCACCTGCCAGGTTAAACCATGACACTAAGTTTATTGGAGAAAAGTCAGCTAAATTCAGTAAGGCTTTCAAAAGGTAAGAGATGCATTTCAGTTACAAAGCCTAATTAATGTGTTTTTTGAAGTTGGTCAAATGCCAAATGTGAATGATTAAGTAGCATGATAATAAATCTCAGTTCTTGTCTTCTGCATTGCAATCTTCACTTCCAATGGAGTGTCACTAATTCTTTAGAGGATGGACAATGTGGTTTGTGAGACGTCAGTGAGGAGATCTTCTGCTGAAAGATATTACAAACCTGGTCACCATGAAAGTCTCTTGAGGTTGTCCTTGTAGGACACTGGGCAACTCATGCCATCACTGGGGAGAACTTGTGGCAAATGCAAGAATGGTATGTGAGGGCAGATGAAGGATGACTCAGGATATCGGTAGAGAGCCAAAGCTGTTTGGATGATTGAATGGAACTGGCTTTTGATATGTGGTACCTATTCAGAGATCCTGTTCTCTACTTTGAAGTAACTCAGATGGATCACAAGTAGGGAGGAAAATGCCCAAGAACAGCAGTCAGATTTCACACTAAATGAAGTCTACCTGCTGCCAGCCTTCCAGCAAGAACTGATACAGAGTTGGGTGAGTGATGGAGAGGTCTTGATGTACTCCTTAACCAATTCATGAAGCCACTGTCTTCTGCAGAAAGCAGTACAATCTCAATAAAATAAGAGATAATCTAATCTTGCTGTCTTCTTTCAGATGTTTTTCAATGTTCCTATGGTTTTTTGTTTGTGATGTTAACCCCATCAAGACTAAAGTGGCAAGTCCTCAGCACAGTATCACTTGTACCTCATAGCCTGACTCATCTTGTGACACAGAAGTGAATGACGTATAAAAGTACAGCCCTTGTTAGGACTGTGGGCAGAAGAACATCTCTTCCCACCTCTAAGGAGGCATCTATCATATGAGCCCAAAAGCTGGAGATTTGGAGAAGGGTAGAAACAAGGACCCTGTTGGCTATGCTACAGTATTCTTTACAGTTGATAAGAAGGTCTAGGAGGGCTGGTGCCCCCTGTAGCTTTGCTCAGTCTTTTCTTCCGAACATTGGTGGTGGTGGTAGGCAGCCAAGGAGAAAGACCAGACACTGGCAGGTGTGTGTGAGAGACTGAAAGAGTTAATGTCTGTGAGAGGCTGAGGGAGTTAATGTCTCAAACACAGTGATAAGACATGTCGTGGTCTGCTCAGCAACAACAGGCTGCAGGCTAGAAGCTAGTTAACACAGGACAGGGAGGGTGTGCCGGAGGGTGCACAGTTCTGTGTTCTGATGTGCCTTGCCAGAGTTCACACAGAGTTCAGCTGAGGAAGGGGCCATGACCACCCAAGACACTCCTCATAACCACCCACCCCCCCACTGGTGCCTGCGCAGAAGATCATGAACTTTCTGGAAGAAGGACCGTGTAAATCCTCAAGAGGTGTAACTTAGGGCGGACACGAGGCCATAAAAAGTACAACTACAAAGAGCCAGGCATGCGCCCACCACGGGACGATTGCCCCTTCCATCATTGTCATTGTGGGATCCTAGGGTGGTGATCTCTTTCTCTCCTTTTTGCTTTCTTTTCCTTCTTATATGTATTTCCAATAAGAACCCACGTTACCAATGTTTCTTATACTTTCCAAGTTCAAGTTACCTCTCATAAATAAAACTTTAATTGATCGTTTGGTGGTGGTTCACCTTAATTTAGCACGAGAAGATTTATAGAACCTTAGTCTCTCTCCCCCTTGCCCCAGGTGGGATGTGGCAGTGTGGTAGCAGTGGTAGCCTCTCCGGCTCCTTTCACTTCAGCAAACAGGCACATAGAAGCATCCCTAATGAACACTACAGCTGTATTCCCTGCTATCAGGACCTGACTTTAGAAATGAGGGAAACAAGAGCTTAGAGGCAGCAGAAATTTAATCCAACCAATATTCATGTATGCTGTATTGCAGCTGTTAGATGGCAATCTCTGTTCTTCACTTAGTTTTGAACAGAAAACTAATTACATGTAATTGTAACAGTTGTCTCATAATATTACCCATTGTGTTAATTTTCCATGCGTGACTATCAGTGCTGATTCCAGTCATGATACTCAGCTTCTAAAAATAAATAAAACACCTTAAAATTTAAATGGATGGACTTGAAATCCTTCCCTCCAATGTGCTGGGACAGTTCAAGTGTGCAGCTTATATTTAGGCCATGCAAGGAGATCCTGCCTTGGAATAAGTTTTTGTCAGCTAGCCTCATTTTGGAAAAGTTCAGATTACATTACCAGTGGAGGAAAAAAAACCCCACAAGCCCAATACATTTTCTACGTATCCCGCCTTACTGAAACTTCAGAAAGAATTAACATTAAGTATGTGTGATCACTTGTTCAAAACCTGCTATGCTTTTGGCAAGGCGAATATATGAATGTCTGTAACTAGCTTTACTGTAAAAATTGACAACTAGAGAAGCAAAAAGAAAAGGAATATACATTAGTCAGCAAAAATATAGTTAAGTTCAGGGTCATAATCAGTTTCATCAAGTTTCTTTTAATCTAAACATAGAAATATGCCTGTTAATGCTTTTTTCTTGATAATTACATTTCTTCCATTTTGGCTCTGGTATGTAGATCAAACAGCTGAACTAGAGAAACATCTCTTTGGACAGAAAAAGGTATTTTAAATTTTCTTCTATACAAAATTATTTTAATGTTCATAAGCTATACATTTCATAAATGTATGTATACTGTGCAAAGTGCTTTCCTAGTATAGTTTAGTTCCGTGTATAAAGCAAACTTGCAATCATGTAAAAAGACAGATTTGAAAAGTCATCTTTTCCATGAAAATGTGGGGGTTTTAATCTTAATTACAATAAAGATCAATCCCTCTTGACCTGAGGATTGATGGTACAATAAAACAAATTTCTCCATCCTTACTAATCTTGCTACTTGATTGAGCCTAATTTTTATCCATTCCTCTGGTGAGTTTTTTCTGTGCTTTTTGCTCTTTCCCCTCCTTTTCTTCTATTTTGACTTAACAGTCTTTTGTTAATATGGTCTATGCCATATCAGTCTTCTGAAATGCCCGTGAATAGATTGAAAGCTTTCTGTTTTCTATTCTCTTTTCTCTTTCTGCTGTGCTTATTTTGTTCTTCTAGGTTGGAATCTGTTGACACTTACAATGGCACTTATTTTTTCTTCCTTTTTTAGCTAATCCTTTCCAGAACGACTTTTAGC